ACCCTAACCCTAATCTAACTTAGGCCGGTTTTAATCTGACGCAAGAATTGATCTGAGGCACGACATATATACAGTATTTACCGATCAAAAGCCTAGAAATTTGAGGTTTTTCTCAGTCTGCATTTTAGAAACATTGCAAATTAAATAGAACATTTTTATTATGTAGTTTATTGTCCTCGTGTGCATAAAAGCAGGAATTGGGCTGATTCATTTGCAGTGAAATTCAGATAAGAAATATGATTGGCCAATCAAATAGGTTTAATGCACTCTGGATGATCTTGGATTTTTTTAATTCTCTTTGCTGTTTAAACGTCCTTAACAAGCAAACATGCAAAAAAGTTGGCCTATTTTGATAGTTCTTCTTGTTGCCCAATTTGTCGGACTTGGTTTGTTCTCTAAAGGCTTTTTTCCATACAAGGCAAGTTTGCCTGGTTTTTCTACAATTGAAGAGCACCCTAAGCTACCTAATGGTGACAAAGCAGCTCCTTTAGTGCCAAAATTCGATAGATTAGTTTTTATGCTTGTTGATGCCTTGAGAAGGTTTGATTTATTAAATTAATTCTTTTATAGCTTTTACACTTTGATTTAGAATCAAATTATATATTTAGTGATTTCGTTTTTGGAGAGAATTCTGATATGATTTTTGTCAAAAAGTATGTATGATAATGTTATTTGGGTTCATATATTTGTAAATTCTCACATTTCTTTTATTAGTCTTATAGAAAATCATCGTGCAATACCCTATACAGCAATCGCAACAGCTCCAACCGTTACTTTACCACGAATAAAAGCGCTTACTACTGGTATATATTTTTACATTCTGTTTCCTAATCCGTATATTTTGTAACAAATTTCTATATTTTTCAATTATAGGAACGGTCCCGAATTTCTTGGATGCTATTCTTAACATTGCAGAATCAGATACAACTTCTTCATTGTTATTTCAAGACAATTGGCTTGTACAGATCAAAAAGGGTGGTAATAAATCCATCTCGTTTTTTGGTGACGACACGTGGATTAAGCTATTTCCAGGTGTTTTCAACACCACCGATGGAACTACTTCCTTTTTTGCTACAGTGAGTTTATTGCCATAATAAATATTATGTATATTATATTTTTTTAATGCGATAAATTATGTATAAATAGGACACTGTTGAAGTTGATCTGAATGTTACTCGAAATGTAAAGCCTCAGCTTTCTAGGCCGGACTGGGATGTTCTAATATTTCATTATCTTGGTTTAGATCATGTTGGACATTCGGGTGGTCCACACAGGTAAACAAAATTCTGTGATGTATGAATTATATTCTTCAAATTTCATTAAGATGATTTATCAATTGTAAGCCCATTGATGAAACCAAAACAAAAAGAGATGGATGATGTAGTTAAATTAATTTACGAAACTATCATAGACCAAGATAATCGAAGAATCAAAATGAACAAAAATGCTAAGCCAACATTATTTATATTATGCGGAGATCATGGAATGAATGAGGTTTACTCCATATTTCATTATAGGGTTGTTAATGGGTTGGGTTGATCTTATTCGATTAAATTAAACCTTGCTCCAGATTCTGCTCTAATCTGCCCCAGGTTGCTCCAGATTTATAAACATTTTTAGATCAGCTACAACGTGGGTTGGATCTAACCTGAAGTGGCTCCGGAGTATACCACACCATTAACAACCCTAATTCATTATTACAAACTAACATAATTATTTAAATCGGATTTCCTTTTTTTTCTGATGGGTGTAAGCGTAGGTTGGGAATCATGGTGGTGCATCTATTGGTGAAATAACTACTGCATGTATCATTTAAAATAAATCAATATAATTTATAACATATAATACTACAATAACGCGATTATGTTGATTTATTTATAGGCCTTTGTTTTTATGAGCTCTAAATTTAACAACGTGAGGCATGTTCACGACAAAGTGAGTACAAATCACGATGCCATTTCTTTTCGATATTATAAGGTCGTGAATCAAGTCGATGTTGTGCCTACACTGTCATATTTGTTCGGTGTTCCAATACCAAAAAACAATTTAGGCAAAGTAATGCTTGATTTACTTGTAGATACTAATGGTGGGTATTATAATTGCTTAAAAAATACGAATCAAATTAACAAAATTTTTAATTATCAATATTTATAGAATTTGAAAAATTACGAGCAATGCAATTAAATGCCTATCAATTGTCTGGTATATTACAAAATACGTGGATATCTTTTGATCGTGACCCCAACATAACTTTACAAAGTGGGAAAAATTGTGATCAAGATGCTGATGATGTTAAGACAAGATTACAATGTTTATATTGGTTATCATATTACTATCATGCAATGGCACTTAATTCTATTGATGCGAATTATATTAGTAATGCATCATTTTTTTATGACAAGGTTTGTTTCAGACTAAACCATGATTTAATCATAATAAAAATTCATCTAATTTATTTATTAATTTAGTTTATCTCAGAGTCAAGCTCGTATATTTCTTCTAGCTTTAGTGATTATGATATCGAATCAATGTATTGGGGATTATTATTTATGGGCGTTGCTGCGGTGTGCTTCATTATCGTAGTATTGAGAAGACAAAATACTCGAAGACGAAAACAATTCAGAAATTGGGAGAAATACAATAGACTTCAATTTCTTTCTTGTTTGGGTATATTTGGTTTATGCATTACTATGTTTTCCAGCAGTTATATAGAAGAAGAACACCAGTTTTGGTATTTTTGGATACAAACGATGTGGTTTGGATTTATTATTTATAGGTAAGTTTTACACTTATTATAAATAGTTTGAAGTAAATTAATAATAATCTTATATACTACCTATATAATAATTTCAGTTTTAAATCAAGCAAGTACGTGCACGACCAGAGACTTGCATTATTATCAGCCGGTCAGATGATACTTGTTCGTATTGTTCGTACTTGGAATCAAACAGGTCCGTATCGTCAAAGCACATTATAAATCTTGGTTTTGTTCACCTATATATGTAATTTATGTATTTTGATCTAGGTCAGAAATATGCTGGTGAAATTGATCTACGGTTTTACTTTAATTCATCACATGTATACTATATGTGGATATTATTTTTTTGTTCAATGTTGATATTAACCACAATGACAATACGGGAAATTCTAGTTACTAGATTAATTCAAGGAAAAAATTTTCTTCAAATAGTTTTGCAACTAATTGCGGCCTTGATTATAATATTTATAGCTTTTTCAATAACCAAATACAAATTAGAAATTGATGGTGGATCAATAATGTTCCCTGATATTTTTTCATGGATAATAATGATTGTTCCAATAACCTTGCCAGCTATATTGGCACGAGTGATATACGCTACAATCGGAACATCACTAATTTTGAATTTTTTATTAACCATATTACAGAATAAGCTTCGTAATACTCAAGGTGAGTAAAGTTTTTTTGACAATCCGGTCTATTCTTTAATATAATACTAACATACGATTATTAACAATAGCTCCAAAAATAACGATATTTCCAAAACTTTCATTATATCTCATTACATATTTATTAATGCTTCTATCACGCCCTCACAATTTATTCTTATACATATTATTCTTCATTCAATATTATCTATTATCCCAATGGATCCATATTTCAATCACTTACGGAATTGAAATATCACCAATAACGTTCAATTTTATACTAATATGTTTAAAATTTGTGTCATTTTTCGCATTTGGAAATTCCAATAGTTTGGCAACCACAGATATAAGTAATTCATATATAGGCGTAACAAAATATAGTCCGTTATGGGTTGGAATGTTGACGTTTTTAGCTAATTGGGCGGGTCCTATTTGGTGGGTGTTTGCCGGGAATTTGTTGAGATTTGAAATTGTTGAAAGGAGAGTTTTTATAAACCAATCCAAAAATCAGAATGGTGATGATGACGAAGGAAATGGCAAGAATACGATTAATAATCCTAATTCAGAAACTTCTCAAATTAACAACACCAGATCCAATATATCATCGGCAATATCAACATCCACAATCGCTACCAAACAGGAACTTAAACGACTTCAATACCATACATCACTATTTCAAGTAACGACATTTCATTCATTAGTATTATTTATAATATCGATTGCTGTTACGATATTGAGAAGTCATTTATTTATATGGACAGTGTTTTCTCCAAAGTATTTATATCAAATTGTGTGGTATACTCTGTTTTTAGTAGGAGTAGAGATTATAGTAGGTGGAATTATGTGGATTGTGGGGTTGAATGTTTTGACGAAAGAATAAAATTAATGAAATTGAACGTGAAAGATAAAGACAATTAATGAATATGTATGTACCTGATATGACTAGAAAAAAATCTGCCATTTTTAAAAATACATATTACCTCAAGCCTATAGTGTAATACGGATTATATATAAACGCTAGTTATGACCCGTTATATAGTTCAAGTCTGAGAATTTTCAACCTTGCTTGTAATTTAAGTAGCGTTTGGATCCAGATAATCAGGTTATCTAAAGATAATTATCTGTTAAATAAACTCATTATCTGATGACTCTGTATCTTTATTTTTTTAATTCTTTTATCCGAACTATAAAGTATTATCCTCAAATAGTTTGATTGGCTGATTTACGTGTCTGATGTTTTGATTGATTTGTAGCGTTACCACGTGACCTCATTACGATTGTATTCAGTTGTGATTCACTTTTTGGCTTTTTCCACTTTTTACTTTTGTTTAAGGCAGAGAAACAGTTGTGTTTTTTTATTAATACAGTCTACTCTCGTTTATATCAACCCATTTGAATTGGTTTAAAATCTATGTTGATAGTGATAACAGGGGGAAACGTCAAAGGTTACACAAACCGACGTGTGATCGACAGCTTGCATATAAATTAATTTATACAAAATACGGTAATAAAATTCGATCATAATTAAATAATATATGACAGATAAAATATGACTAATAAAAATTACGAATAT